TATAATTGCCAGATTTAATAATGCTATTTAACATACATACGTATTTTATATCACATGCATTGTGTAACCGTAGGGAGGGGTTTGTGCCTGGAGTGCCAAACTTTGTTTTAAATATTGGAATTGACTGCACATTTGAAATAAACTTCATTTGCTCGGAAGCCGCCTGGAAGAATACATTGGAAGAATAACATCTGCCATGTTTCAGGTGACGTCCAAGTCCCCGACAAGTAATACACCGGGAGTCCTCAGACATTAAACGTTTAGTTACATTTAGCTTGCCTGAGTATAGTTAAATGCCTGAGATTGCCTGGGTCAAATGCTATTAGCTAACTTTTATTGCTTTGAATAAAACGAGATGTTATATTTCAATACAGCTTGGTTTCTAGCATAAAATTAAATGATCAAAGTCTCATTTTGGGAAGTGACTTTCCATATTTGGAGGGGGGTTAGACTTTTTAAGTTCTTTTTTTAATTTCCCAGATGCCGAGCAGAAGTTATTGGAAGTTGAAAGCCACCTTTAAACTTTCAACAATCGAAATTTATTAATTTATGGTAATTGGAATGGATAACAAAATAAGTACTTTTATAAGTGCAACGCATACCTTACGGCTTTGGAAGCACTGAAGCATTTTGAATTACATAGTGCCGTATCCCCCCCCCCTTGACGTTCAGTACACAAGAGCGATGCGCACGTGCAAGTTTTGGCCCAAGATCTAAATATTAAAATGATCTCCATCCAATAAGCATTCGTCATAAAAAAAAATTATAAGATCAGAGCCCTTAACCATCGTTCAAGCATACTTTACCTCCCCGCACAAGATGGCTGTTGACATGGTGGATGGGTCTGTGATATTCACAACACCTCAAGAAAATTAAAACGCTTACTTTGGAGAGCCTTTCAAAAAGCTTGTGGATGACTAGGATCATTTTTGCCAATTTTCTTAAATTATGAATTAACCTAAGGTGTGCCTCTAGGGCATGATGGCAACAACCTGCAAGGTGACGTTGCAGCACTTTAGGACAATGAAATGTCCTCAATTTCCAGAACATTCGCAAGGGTTAAGGAAGAATAACCGCCAGAACATCTAAGTACAATATTCTGAAAGGAATTGGCTTGGCCATCTAACGCCACCTACAAGGGTTTCTCCGTAATACAGACCAGTTCAATAGCCTGCTTTTATCAGTTTGTGGCCGCTTTCGCAACATAGACTCACAGCATTGCTGTTCATCAAATCCGTAGGGACAGTTCTTCAAACCATTGCAAACAGCACGGGATGAAATACAGAACGTTGAATTCTCACACTGGAAGTCAGGCACACCTGAACACTTACTCGGCCCTGCAGAGAATAACAGCCATTAAGGACCGGTGAAAATGCAGAAAAAAAAACTTTCTGGGGCAGATCAACGCTTTGCAACCTTTCAAAGATAAACATAATGGTGAGTTCTTGAAAGAAATTCTTGAAAGCTGGCAGAAACGCACATTGTTTTGTCAGAACTTGCATTGAGTCTTCTACTCAAGTAATTCCGTCATACGTGTACATTGCCAAAGATTTTGGCAAGTTGCATCTAAGAGTATTGAAATCGATGTTTGCAGATAGAGAAAACTACAGAGTGAATAGAATACTGAGGATTCGATTCTGCATAACATTTACTTATGAGTGACGGACAACAAACATGTTGTATCGAATGTTATGTCCTCGTGCCTTCTAGTATAGAGGATGGACGTAAGGCCTGGGGGTGGGGGTATATCCCCCTCCCCACTTTTTAAAGTCGGGGATGGGCTATTGAATCATCCAACCAGACGTTTGGTGATGAGAAAAAAAACATTAAAGCTGATTTTGAGGAATAATCAGCCTTCCCAATGACAGAAAATCACTAAAAATGGAAAGCACTTTTATAAATTCATAAAGATACCATTCTGATGTTTCTGATGTAAGATTCTGCATGAGTTTGATCACATTTATCACGACCATCGACCCTGTATAGTGTATATGATCCACCCTGCGCTTTCCAAATTTCCATGACCAGGAAGTAATTCCCCCACCTTTCCGCATCTCCCATTCTCCACCCCGCAATATTTAACACAGATCTACGCCACTGGTTATCGAGATTAATACAGCAAACAATACGTGAACTTACAAGTTTTGAACGCCTCAATCTTCATTCGGAATCCTCTTGTCCGCCTAAACTCGTTGGTTGTCATTGAGATATTGATGATAGGAAGCCTTGAGGATACCCTCGTAACAGCTGTGTTCCCAGTCAAGCTCAATTTGTTTCCTGAGCCTGTTGTTAAATCCCCGAGCTCCAAACCAGGGCCCTCTATTGTAACGAAGTCATACCGACGTTCAGTCACAAAATCCAAGATGGTGATGACAATAAATCCACTTGAGGCTCGAAACTCCCACTGGCAGTTCAGGGAGTTAGGATATCGGTCAGGGTAGTTAGGAGACGTAAAGGTGTAGGGAATGTTCTCCTGCAGGTTGATTGTTATTCCATCACATTCATCTAATGAACACAGATGTGGGAAAAAAATCTAACATGACTATACATAATAACCACATGTACAACGTAAGTCTAAGGAGGGGTGTGTCTTTAAAATCTAATCTGTTTGAAATTTTGGATTTAACGAGACTTGATCTGAGGCTGCAATAGCTTTGAAGCTAGTTATGTTGAATATAATTATCAGATTTAATAATACTGTTTAACATACATACATGTTTTATATCACATGCATTGTGTAACCGTAGGGAGGGGTTTGTGCCTGGAGTGCTAAAATTTGTTTTAAATATTGGAATTGACGGCACATTTCAAATAAACTTCATTTGCTCTTAAGCCGCCTGGAAGAATACATTGCGGGCAGGGAGTTTTATGTGTGCGATGATTTTACAATACATCTGCCATGTTTCAGGTGACGTTCAAGTCCCTGACAAGTAATAAACCGGGAGTCCTTAGACATTAAACGCTTAATTACTTTTAGCATGCCTGAGTATAGTAAATTGCCTGAGATTGCCTGGGTCAATTGCTATTAGCTAACTTGGTTGCAACAGTTATTGCAAGTTGCTGAAAAAAAAAGCTTGATGTGTTTGAAACACTGCCGTGAGTTAAACGGTTTTTAACTCCTCCTCAATATCTCCGTTGGATGACACTTGTGACACAATTCACACGACCATTTGGCAAGCTAGGAATGCCCCCGTGAAATCACATGGAACTGTCTTCAACTATGGAACTGTCTTCAACTATGGAAATGTAGGGATGTGAATATTTTCGTTCCACGCGCGAAGTTAGTTATTTATTATGTGTCCTGTGCATAATTTAGCGACTCTGTATTTTAGGCCTCTACTACCTCTGCTGTCATATCCCTTTCTGAAACAAAGCTGGAACATTATGGTAACATTTTGAGATCTTAATAGTGTCATTGATAGAATTTTTATTTTATTCTGTCCTTAGGTCCTTGTTGTTCAAATAATGAAAATTAATATAGATTATTATAATTATTTGTCACATTTTTGGGGGGTAGGGTTGTAGTAAACTTGAAAGAGCAAGCAACGGTTTGTCCCTTTTTCGTTCTCAATGCGTCTTGTCAGAGAATGGCTAGTGAACCGCTGAATTTTCACTTAATTTCTGCCTTTCAGGGGTAACTTAATCTTAATTAAACCAAGTCGTAAGCTGTTACGTTAAGAGACTTTGAACATGTTGGTTGGTGTGAAAACTGAGTACTGAATGTATAATTATTCTTCTTTACGCGACACTTTTGTGTGATGTCGAAGCCTTTGCAAAGTAGTGTTGTGTGAGCTTGCCTTGTGCACTAGTCTACAGTACAGTAAGTGCGATGTGTAGCGACATTGTGCATGTACACTACATGTATTACAATATTGTTTGTACTTACGCCAAGTGCAAATCTGCATCTCGCACTAATGGTTGATGCACTGTCTCAAAGAGTTATGCCTGACTTGTAAGGGTACTTTTGCTTGCGTTTATTTTTAGCCTACTCCTGCTTTTGCTGTAGTTTTCAGTGTATAACCCGAGGATCGGCATAGCTGAAGTTATTCTGCACCATGGTAAAATTAGGGTTCCTTTAATGTTGTAGTCATGACTGATCATTCATTTATAACAACATATAAAACAGCAAATGTCATTACAATTTTATAATAGCAACACGTATTGTGTTTAATATTATTTAAGTAAATGAATCTGCAGGGTGTATGAAAAAGTATAGAGTCAGAAAATTAAATACAAAGTAAAAATGTGACATTTTTTGAAAATATCTTCTCCTACATGGGTTGATTAGAGTATCATGCTGTTACTAAAGTTGTGATCATGAACAGATTTTCATGCCTGAGTGACCAGGAGCTAGTTTCCTAAATAGCTCAAAAATAGGCTTGCGCAAACAATTGCTTTGTTCAGAATTGGATCAAAAGTCCAGAAAAGCAAATATTGAAGGTGCTTGAGTAAATATCATTTATTTCACCCATTTAGTCCTCCACGTGACGATCACTTCGCTCCACACAAATTCGTGCCCTTCTCAGCATGTCGTAGATAGCACGCCTGATCATTGCTCTGTTTTGCCTGAGAGCATTGATCTCGGCAGTGATCCTTCCTGCAAGGCCATCTAGGTCCACTGGCAGAGAAACAAAAACCTTGGACTTCAAACGTCCCCACAGGAAAAATTCCAATGGCGTTAGGTCGGGTGATCTCGGTGGCCATTCCACAGGCCGAAGCAATGCAATCACACGGTAATCAAAGAGTTCTGTCAGGTGCTCTGTAACCGTTCTCATCCTGTGTGGTGGAGCACCATCCTGTGCCTACCAAGCCATTTGAAACAATCCATTTCCTTGGCGAAGATAACGAGGCATTTGATCAATGACTGGAACGATGTTGGCATTGATCATTTATAAGTACATGTCACCGTGCATGTTGTGAAAAAAGAATTGACCAATAATGCTCCTGTTCCCAATCAAAACTACCCAGTCAGTTTATGTCTGTCATCACTGCGTTGATAGTCAAAATGAAGTGGTCGATGGCCACGGGGAAGATATTATCTTATGTTGTGGGTACTCACAGAAGCATTTAAGGCAAATCCTAACCCAACTCCAATAATCAAATCTTCGTGGAAGCGTGCATGTTGGCCAAGGAGCCAGTGGCAAAACTGAAACCGTCGCTGTTGATCACGTGGAAGAAGCTGTTGTCGTTGAACCATTTGGGAAGAATAGAAGCGTAAATCCAAGCGACTAATTCTGTTGAATGTGACATAGGGTAACCCAAGTCCATTACGATGACAGCTCAACCTCTGAGCCCTTTCATCTCCTGCCTGCTGATTCGCTAAAGCATTTTGAACAGTTTGGATGTTGGCAGCACATCTTCCAGATCTTAGGCGCCCAGATCTTTCTTTGTTTAGGTTGTGACTTGATCCTGTTACCTTGTACTTCTGTACATTTTTGTAAACTGTTGCTCGTGATGGACATCGTGCATTCGGATATTCTTGACAAAACCTTCGCAAGACCTTTGCAACACTCTGACTTCGATGGAACTCTCTTACCAAAAATTACCTTTGCTGGGGGTAAGCTGGGGTCTGACCATCTCGTTTCATTGATTTCACCGCTAAAGAATGAGACAGAGGCCCTCCAATTTATGCCATTGCAAACATTCTGCAAATGTGTTTCGTCCAGTGATGTGCACTGAAATCAAACAAATGAACACCAAGTTGCCATTCTCATTACTTGTGCAAGCAACATTTTTGCGGGGATTTGTAGGTGGGAAGAGACGAGGCTGAAAGAAACCTTCCAAGGTACTCCAAAGAACAAAGCACATGCCATACTTGACTTTTGGTCCAATTCTGAACAAAGCAAGTGTTTGGGCAAGCCAATTTTTGAGAATTTAGGAAAAAAGTTCCTGGTCACTCAGGCATTATAATCTGCTAATGATCACAAGTTTAATAACAACAAGATACTCTAATCATTCCATGTAGGAGAAGAGATTTTCAAAAAATGTTCACATTTTTATTTTCACTTAATTTTCTGACTGTATACTTTTTTGATACACCCTGTATATGTACAAGCCAGGATTATTTGGAATGAAATATATTTCATTGACAGGGCTTTTCTTCAGACAGTGTACCAGGCCATTCCTCTCCGTTATCGGTCGTTTTTGGTGGGATTATGGTCGTTGTTTGATGTAATCCATATGAACTGGAGAATTTGGAAATAAAGTGGAAATTTGGAATCAACAACTACTTGTTTGTTTTTACACCCTCCTTCTCTTGACGAGAGTGGAACCAACAAGCCACGGCCTCCTCACGGAAACATATGACATGGTTGGTCAATTCGTAGCCTCTTGCAAGCAGAAACGCCACACACATGAAAATAGTTTTCAGGCATCTACGTGTAATGGCGCCTTTCGATATGAGCCTCAACACTTGTGTCAAGCGTTGCGAATGAAAATCGCTCCCAGAACGATTTTCACGGCTGAACAAAACGCACAGGTGTGTTATTTCAATGGATTCGAGCTTTGTGCTAGTGGACGTGAAACACATGAACGCACCGTGTACGCAACGCACCCAAAAACGTACATATGGAAAGGCGCATTTAACTTCACGTACGTACATAAAACTGTAGCACATGTACGTGACACAGTTTTCACGTACGTATTGCAATACCTATTAGTTTACTTAAATGCTTTAACAATCAAGCACTATTGTTTATTGCTTCCACTTCAGCAAACCATACATGCAGTTCACGCACATAGTGTTATACTGTGTAATTAAGCAGCACTAACTACACGTGTAGAATTGATTTGATCTAACGGGACATCTGCATCAAAACAGTTGCAATCTTGTCCGTGTCCTATTGCATTAAAAGTCAGATTATAGCAAAGCATAGGACACTACATTGGCGACGAGCTGAGCAACCTAGTCGCCTCTGATACCCGGGTAAGCAATCCAGTACCCTATTTGCAGTTGATGACTCAGAAAAAGGGCTGGAAACCGTGCAGAAATTCAAACGGCCATTGTTAGCTTGTGCAGAGTCGTAGTATCACAGTGTAGACGGTACATATACCAGTAACATGGCCACGAGATCAAAAGAACAACCTGCAGCTATGCCATTGCAAATAACTGTAGAAACTGAGACCAGAAACTTGGGGAGCCATTCTTGCAATCACCCCAATGAACAGATATCGACAGGAAAGGCTTGGGAAGAGTAGCTAGAGGGCATAGAAAGAGAATTTCGCTACTTCAAAATTTGCAACCCCATTGACAAGAAAGATGCCCTGATAATTTATGGTGGCAAAGACATCACCAGATTAGAGAACAGTTTACCTGATCCAGTGGATGTTGATAATGTTTATGAGAGGCTGGGGACAAAAACTCAACAACTACTACACCCCAAGAAAAATAAACATCATGCCAGATAGCTTTTCCTAAAGATGCGGCCTACTCCCAATGAAACAACCACAGCTTATGCAGCCCAGCGTAGAGAAAAAGCCAATGATTGTGAGTTTGGAGACACCTG